CCAGCACTGAGAGAGAGCCCTGTGGCCAGCCCTGCCATCACCCAGCCCTCTCTGGGGAGCAGCACAGGGGGTGAGAAGAACATCATGGAGGGCTCTGGGTGTCCTTGCTGAAGTGAGAGTCCTGTGGGGCAGCACAGGGGGTGATAAGAACATCATGATAAGAACATCATGGGGGGCTCTGGGTGTCCTTGCTGAAAAGAGAGCCCTGTGGGCAGCCCTGCCATCACCCAGCCCTCTCCAGGGAGCAGCACAGGGGGTGACAGGCACATTATGGGGGGCTCTGGGTGTCCTTGCAGTCTTGCTGCTCTTGCAGCCATCCAGAGAGGAGGCTGATACTGGGAATGTGGGGAAATGTCCCTGCCTGGTGCACTCTCCATACCCCTGACCCCTCTGCAGAGGCTCCTTGGAGCTCCTCAGCCTCCCGTGCCAGGGATGCAGCGTGCCATTGCCAGGGAACCGAGCAGCCTGAGGCTCTGAGCAGATTTGTAATTTATGAGCTCTTTGCGCTGTATTGATTTCAGCAGCCACAGGAGCAGCTCAGGCCATGTCCAGTCACTGGCTGCAGGGACAGCCTGCCAGGATGCTGCCCTGTCACCTGTGTCCCTCCTCAAGCTGTGTTCCCAGAGTGTGCCTGGGGGACCACTGCTCTGGGGGGAGGGTGTGAATCCAGCCCTGGGCACCACACACACCCCAGCACCGATTGCCATGGATGGACAGACCCTGGAGCCATGGATGCACAGCCCTGGCATCACACACCATGGGTACACAGCCCCTGAGGCCATGGTCGTACAGCCCTGGCATCACACACCATGGGTACACAGCCCCTGGAGCCATGGTCACACAGCCCTGGCATCACACACCGTGGACACACATCCCCTAGAACCCTGGCACCACACACCACAGATGGGCAGCCCCTGGAACCATGGTCATACAGCCCTGGCATTTCACACCACGGATATATAACCCTGGCAGCGTACACCGTGGGCACACAGCCCCTGGAACCACAAATATACATTTCCTGGCACCACACACCATGGATATACAGCCCCTGGAGCCATGGTCATACAGCCCTGGCATCATGCACCATGTATGTACAGCCCTGGCATTTCTCACCATGGCTGTATAACCCTGGCAGTGCACACCAGGGGTACACAGCCCCTGGCACCATGGATGTACATCCCTGGAACCATGGATGTACAGCCCTGGCACCACACACCGTGGGTACACAGCCCCTGGAGCCATGGATGTACAGCCCTGGCACCACACACCATGGATGCACACCCACTGGAACCACAAATATACATTTCGTGGCACCACACACCATGGATGTACAGCCCCTGGAAACATGGATGTACATCCCTGGCACCATGTACGTCCCTGGCACCACACACCATGGATCCACAGCCCCTGGAGCCGTGGTGATACAGTCCTGGCACCACACACTGTGGGTGCAGAGCCCCTGGCAGCACACACCATGGATGTACACCCCTGGCACCACACACCATGGACACACAGCACCTAGAACCACAAATATACATTCCCTGGCACTGCACACTGTGAGTACACAGCCCCTGGCACCACACACCATGGGTACGCAGCCCCTGGAACCCTGACAGCACAACGCCATGGATGCACAGCCCCTGGCACCATGGATGTACACAACCCCTGGCACCACACACCNCCTGCTGCTGACTCAGACAGAGGGGCCCAGGCACCCCAAAAGGCAGGAGGAGGAGGAAGAGGGTGACAAGGCCAGTGAGGAAGGAATTGCTCACTCCTTCCCAGCCATGAGCACTGGGGGCCTTTTTGCAGCAGTTTTGGGGGCTCCTGGACATTCCAGGTGAGAAGGAGGAAAGTGGGAGCAGGCAGGCAGCGAGGAAGGGCAGCTCTACAGCAGATGTGCTATGGAAATGAGGAGGAGGAAGACACAAACACATGTGATGGTGTTCACAGGGGTTTTCAGATTGGGGAAGAGATGAGGATCTGACTCCATGTTTCAGAAGGCTGTTTTATTATTTTATGATATATATTATATTAAAAATCTAATAAAAGAATAGAAGAAAGGATTTCATCAGAAGGTTGGCTAAGAATAGAAAAAGAAAGAATGAATAACAAAGGTTTGTGTCTCGGGCTCTGTGTCCGAGCCAGCTGACTGTGATTGGCCATTAATTAGAAACAACCACACGAGACCAATCACAGATGCACCTGTTGCATTCCACAGCAGCAGATAACCATTGTTTACATTTTGTTCCTGAGGCCTCTCAGCTTCTCAGGAGGAAAAATCCCGAAGAAAGGATTTTCCTAAAAGATATCTGCGACAAACACACAGCATCACCTCAGCGAGGCCCCAGATCGATTCTCCAACCTCAGCCCTCCCTGGGCTCCTTAACAGCGCTCCAATCTTGGCTGTGAGAGGCAAACCAGAGCCGGGCCGAGGAGCCAGACAGGATGTCTGGCCGGAGATGAGCCGGAAAGATGATGATGCCCTTGGGGACCCCCGAGCCGGCTCATCCCCTTTCCATCCCCGCTCCAGGCACCAGGGACAACCCCGACCCTCCCTGGGGACCACCATGACCCTGCTGGGGCTGCTGCTGCTGCTCTGCTGTCCCCAGCAGCCCCTGCATGATGCTGGAGATGCTTTGCCAGCAGAGGGGACTGTTGCTTGCCTTGTTGCTTGTCTTTCCAGAAGCCTGTCCCTCTAGGGAAGAGACATTCCTGTCCTCCTTGCCCTGCTGAGGACCCTCCCAGTGGGAAAAATCACCGTCTCCAGGGAGAAAATGCTGGCAAATCTCTCCCCCAGCGATATTCTCCTCATTTTCCTGCTCCTTTTGTTCGCAGAATCCTCCCGAGTTTGAAATTGTGAATCTCCGCCCCTCGCCAGCGTGCTGCCCTTCCCCCAGAGAAGTCATCTGGGGTAAATAAAGAGAGAAAAACAAAAAAAAATATAAATATTAAAAATATCCAACCGGGACTGCTGGACCCTGTCAGTGGAAGCTCTGACGGAAATCAAGTTTCTGAGGAGCTGCTCCCGTTGGGCTCCTGCACATCTGGAAAGACAGAAGATCACAGCTGGACACAGCTGGGCACAGCTGGATGCTCTGCAGAGGGATTTCCATAGGATGGATCCAGGAACCTGCCCAGAGATGTCCTCAGTGCAGCCATCACCTCTCAAGGGCTGTGAGAGAAAGGTGCTAATGGATCAAAGAAATAAATGTTCTCTGTGTTTCATGAAGCTTCAGAGACTTTTAAGGAATCTGGTCTTTTAGCTAGTCATAGAATCAAAAATGCAAATCCTAACAAATATTACCAGGTTCTCTGAAGTTAGGACAGGGAAGCAATATTTTTGATTATTGATTTGAACAGGAACTCAAAATGGGTGGTTTTTAATGATTTCTTTCTACATTATTTATATTGTTATTGTCTCTTTCTTTATTTTATTTCTTACCCAAAGATGATAGTGGAACCACCTGATTTATCTGATATAAATCCAAAGCATCTCAATTAATACAGATGTTTGGAACTAGAACTCAACTTTATCCTTTCTTCATTTTTTTTCTCTCACATTCCACAAAAAAAAAATGTAGTTGATTTATTGAAAGACTAAGTCCCAATGGAACATTTCCTGGGCATCAAGATTTATCAGACCCAACATGAACTTTGATGTATATCTACATTAAAGGGCTGTGAGACCCTCAGGGGGCTCCTCTGGGGCTCTGAGCCCCCCGAGTTTTGGGGGAGCATGGGGCTCATAAGCCTGTAGGATGGACAAAGATGAGATATCTCTGAAGCCAGGGCGTGGAATTTGGGGTTTATTGCAAAGGGCCTGGGTGCAGGGCCCTGCTGGGATTTGGGGTTCATTGCAAAGGGCCTGGGTGCAGGGCCCTGCTGGGATTTGGGGTTCATTGCAAAGGGCCTGGGTGCAGGGCCCTGCTGGGAGCTGCAGCCACAGCTCAGAGCAGGCTGAAAGAAGAGAGGGGGAGAGAGGGTGAGAGGATAAGAGGGTAAGAGTGTAAAAGCATATGAGAATAAAAGGGTAAGAGAGTAAAAGGGGTAAGAGAGTGAGGTTCCCGTTACAACACAATAAATCTTCTTCTGTGTTCAATATTCTAATTCTCACTAACCAATCTAGTACAAGATACAAATCCTACAGCATTTACATACAGCCTGTAAGAATCGTTGCATTACCACACTGTGTTACATTTTAAACCCTAAAAACTCCTCTTTGGAGTAGTTTTAAACCCTAAAAATTCCTCTTTGGGCCCCTTCTGCCAAGCTGGCAGGGTCTGCTCTGACCCTTGGGCCTGTCTGCAAGCAGAGGGTGTTGTTCCATCAAAAGGGGAT